AATAGAAGCTATCCATTCTGAGAACTTCTTGATTGCTTCACGATCTCCAGCATTATTTGGATCTTCCAATCTCATGTTCTTGGTCAATCTCAATACTTCACAATGACTCCACAAGTAAGAAGCATTAATCGTAGCATTTACAATATCCTGGCGACTACCTTGTGGAATCACAGGCAAAATCTGTCGAAAATCTCCACCGAAAACAATGACTTTACCTCCAAACGGTTTGGACAGACTGTCTTTACATGAGAAACGCATTATGTCACGCATGCTTCTATCAAGCGCTTCAAAGCAATATTTATGAAGCATGGGGGCCTCATCCCAAATGATGAGTTTAGATTTCACAATAAGTTGTGCAATTGGACTGCCTTGCTTAATGTTACACGTTAAATCTTCATTCAAGGAAAGTGGGATTGCGAATCGAGAATGTGCAGTTCGACCGCCGGGCAACAATAAAGATGCAATACCACTTGAAGCCACATTCAAAACAATTTCTCCTTTAGAACGTATAGCAGCAGAGAGAGTCCTCCACACAAATGTCTTTCTGGTGCCCCCATATCCATAAACAAAGAAAATACCTCCAACTCGTTTGTCAATAGCTTCCATAACTTCATCATAAACTTTGCGTTGTTCATCTGTAAAATTTTGAAACAAAGACTTGTGCTCTTCTGCCAAAGCTTCACGGTCATACTGCAATTCTTCTTCTATGAGCCTATTCACATTATATTGCATGGCGTCCAAAGGAGGAACTAGCATGGGAGGAAAATCTCTAAGACTTTTGCCACGACTCTGTAATAAATATTCAATCTCAACCAAAGCAAATTTTTGCAATTGTTCATCAGTCAACATCAAATCTGAAAAATGATTTACAAACAAAATTAGAATGTCTTTGTGATTTATTCAAATACACGTCAATATAATAAAATAAAAATGATAGATGTATTTATAAATTGAAATGTGTTACCTGGATGTTGATATAGTAGGCGTTGCCTATACTGGATGTCTTCTGCCAAGTATTTCCAGACTTTGTCCCAAACCTTGTCCGGTCTGCTCAATGATTCAGACAACAATAAAATCACAAATAATATCCTCAGAGAAACAGCAGATGCCCAATGTCTTGCCTCATGAATCCCATCAATATATTCTTTATCATCGTCCAATAATCCCATGGCATAACATGCTTCGCGATAAGTGTTGTATATCGCATTTTGAACGGTTCTGAGATCTTCAAATGATGTCGCTCCACGAATGTGATTGAGAAGGCAACGTAAATAATAGGACTCACCACTTCCTGGTGGAACATAATAAATCCGTCCAATAGCAAATGCCATCTTTCTGGGACACCACTCCCTAGTTGACTGCTTCCAAACAAATTTCTGTGGGAATTCAGCATATGTCAATGATCTCGCTTCAGGGTACTTTTATCCGCTTCCATCCAAGCTAAAAACATGCTATCCTTCACACTTTTTCGGTCAAGAACTTTATCCAATTGGTCGCCATCAGAGAAAAGAACTGGCTGCTCTTCATGGAAGTGAAAGCTAAGTCGCTCGACGGGTGGATTTTTATATTGTATTTCAAAAGTAAATATGCGCCACGAAGCTTCACATGGAGACACATATCTACAATCATAATACATCTTGATCTCATCAACTTCTTTGTTTACCCCATCAGCATTCACGTTGCTGAAAAAGCCAGCTGTAACTCGATCACGACCTTTATTTATATATTTAAATAAATACTTTATCGATCGAGACTGGTTATACCATTCAACATTCATATGAGCACGGTACTTCATCAATAAAAAACGATTGTGTGGAACAACATATCTATTATCCAAAACAACATTATTCTTTACAGCGTTTCGGCCATCATTTCTGCGCCGTTAAATGGGATATTCTGAATCATCCACCGTAGCCTCGGCACACCATTTCTTCGGAAAATGTTTAGTGCACTTTCCATTAACCATGCAAGGTGAATAACTGACTAAAGGACCACATGGACCATGCATCATTAGATCTTTGACAGCTTCATAATAGTGGGGATCAGAATGAACATCAGGTATTTCAGCTGAGATAATGCTATCTATGTCACTTACTGCCAGAAATTTGGACTGGTTTTCCAAGAATAAGAGAATATGAACGTGTGACAGACCTCTTTTTTGAAATTCAATTGTATAAACAACTACATCTAAAAAGACAAACATATTAGTGATTGTTAAAAAACAAAAGCATTAAAAGTAGTAAATGTATATAACATTATACCTGCTTGAACTCCTCCATAAATTTTATTTTGCCGAAAATCTTTTATGAGTGAATCAAGCTTTATTTTAAAAACACGACTAACTATGTCTGGTCGATCTTCTGGTTTTAAATTGTGCTGATTTAAAAATCGAGTTATTTCAGGCCACTTTGGGTTGCAAGTAAAAGTTATAAACAAATTTGGATATCCTGCCCATCTACAAATAACCATGGCATCCTGATAATTTTGAATCATAAAACGTGCACCGCCTGTAAAAGATGGCGGCAATACAATCCTCTTGCCTTGAGTGCGTGCATCATTCTCTCCCCTAAGAAACGTGTCACTCAAACCCTTATACATTTCAGAACGTAATTGTTTTTGATGAGTCCTCACAAATTTCAATCTCGCAGATTCAACCATTGTATATCCATCAACAATAAACTGTTGCAAAAGACGTTTCGTATTCAAAATACATGACGTATTAGAATCTCTCTGTTGCAGACGAAATGCTAAAAACTCTCTTATGCTCACACATTTTCTACCAGCACCCATAACGATACTTGAGTTACCTAATGGGATATCTTCTCTATAACCATCTTCACCATATGGAAACAGTAAAGGATATTGTAGTCCAAAATATGCTGGGTGAAGCTCATTAATTCTTTGTAATCTCCCTGTCTTTGTTTCTACCAGAATATCTCTTTCTCCTAAAGATTCATCGAAATCTCCAACAACTAAAGCAGCCACCTCAGAAACAGAGGGCAAATTATACGACCTAGCATCACCAAAACGCCGACCGATCAACTTTAATCGCATGTTTCTTGTATCGTCTTGATTGATCCTCTCCCTTGCCATTCGGAAGCTTTTAACCAAAACATTGCACTCGTTAAGCATATTCTTTAATCGTTGAACAATATCAACATCCAATTGACTCCTGTCACTTTCTCCCCTAAAAATAACAATGAAATATTTTTCAAATTATAACAAATCGGTATGATAACCCAAGTGCTCTCGTAATGTAAACCATAAACAGAATACCTCACAGACGAAATTCTATTATCTATCTCATTTTCCGTATCATAAATGTACAACTGGGCAAACTTTGGTTTCGAACCCTCTGTAGGCAATAAGCTTCCAATGAGATGATAATTCTGACCATGAAGCTTAAAAATAGGAGGACATCTTCCTCTATTCAAATTATTCTCTACTCTCCCTCCCATGGAAGTGAAAGCAAACATGCTATTATATGACCTAATGTTTTCGAGGAAATGTTTGCTCTTTTGATCTGTGCCATGAATCAAATCATACAACTGAGTGGGTGGTTGTTTCATGGATGCAATGTTGATTTTACCATGTGTGCAACAAAGAGAATACTTTAATTTGGACTCTTCTTAATAGAATTAACAACCCGTTCTTCCATCCAAAATTGTGCACCACAATATGTACACTTGCATATTTGATCACCGATATCCCAATACTCTGTCGCACACACATATGTAAAAGCTATTGTAATATAATCTATTATTGATTTTTTAAAATCAAAACTATTCAACATTTAAAAAAATAGAACCTCTAGAAGCATCGTTCAATATACTTGCAAGTTCTTCATATTCTATAAAATCATCATCATTACTCTCTTCACCGGAATCAGATTCATTTATCAATGACTGTTCATTGTCTCTTCCAAACCCTTCCTCACTGGCATGTGATCGAATAGATTTTCTTTGTTTATCATTATTTCTAAAAGCTCTTACATGAGTACTTGTAGAAGTACAATTGTCCGTTAAGGATTGTGTACCAATGTTCAAACATCGTAGACTACCTGCTGGTTGATGGCGTGACATTCCTAATAATTGTACATAGTGAGTATATTTTTTAAAATATATAAAAATGTGTTAGATATAGGATAGTTTACCATTTGTAATGTTAGACAACGGACTATTATATTGTGTTGCATTCACATCAACAAAACTATTTCCAATAATAAAAGAATTTCCAATTCTAGACTCGTAGCGAAATTTGTGACGTATTCTTTGCCACTTGTCATTCTCACAATCCACGTTTTCTGCATTTTACATAATCCATGTAATTAGTAATTACACGGGAATGCATAATTTCAACGTATGTTATTGCACATCACTAAAATGTTAAAAAAAGTCTATGTTTACATTCCTCGTTATAATTTTAATGTCTGATATAGATCTCTATTTAAATTGTGTAAAAAGGTCTACAAATACATATCATGTCATACGTAGTAATAAGCTACTTAACAAAAATCTTCTTCTACCAACCTACTACTTCCGTCGCAAAAAGCTATGTCATTTTTAAGTCTTTATTTAACTATATATTTTTAATTTTTATATTAATAATATAAATTTTTTATGAATATGTTATTTGTTCAAAGTACTTTCTTAAAGTTATGAAGTTTATAATTTTTTGGTCGGGTCTAAAATTAGAATGAAGTTTCATAGTCCTTAAGTTTGATCTGACGGTCTAATATGATCTAGACAAATAAGTGTCTGGTGTATATATATTTGATTTATCTATTTTGATCAGATCAAAGTATCAAACCTTTCTATTTAAAACAAAGACAATTTTAAACATTTAAAATCGGCCGAATCGGTTTCATTAAACACACAAATTGTCGAAATAGTACAATAAATTAAAGGCTGGTTTTGAAAGCAGACCAATGTATAGGCCCAATCTAACTTTTTATAAACAACATGGGTGAAGTCCCATGTATGAAACCACATGGCCAGAGTATATAAACCATGTTGCTAGGATTTTCTCTACTAAGGGAGACGCTTCATCTCCAAATCAATTGGCGGTCATAGCTCATACAACACAAAAACAGCGTTTGTGTTCGCCGCCGGCTAGTGTGGTAGGCTACCGGAATTCAGCAGATTTTAGTCCCAGATAACGTCGTTTTTGATCACTTTCCAAATATAAACCCCACGTCCTAGCTCACAACAGTTTAGTTACCAACCAAGTGATTATATACCATTCACTCACTCTCAATTACTGACGGCGGCGGCTGATTTTCAGGTTTGTAGCTTTCGATTCTTGAACTGATTTGTACAAGATTATATCTTTGAAAACATTTAAATTATTTTTGAAAACATCCCATTCTTAATAGATGTTCTTTTATTTTATAAAGCAAGCAAATTTGTTTCTGAATTCCAACAATAAAAAATCCTTTACGTAAGTGCTTTCATGAGAATTCCGCTTGTGGACATGACTCTGTCATCCGCGTAAGTAGATTCGGCATGAAAGTTCATCATGATATGAAGTACTTATTGTAAACAGTTCTGGAAACTAAGGTCACTACTTATTTTGACTGAAATAATTATGTTATGAACTTCTCATATATCTTGTTTTATATCTATATCTATGATGGTAAATGTCCTACTTTTACCTGTATATCTATGGGAGGCTGTCATATGTAATATCTTTGTGTCACTAATGTTCTTAGTTGGCTTTTCAGTTTTCTAGTATTTATATTTAGTAAAAGACTCATTAGAGTGTTGGAAAAATGTGTTAAAAATTGCATTAAATGGTCATTTTGGGGCAATTATTTGAGTGGGATCCACTTCCGATTTGGGTCGGGTCAAAGTGGTTTCGGATTGTCCTTGTTAAGGACTACAATTCGATATATGGTACACTCAAAACGGATAATGAGTGTGATGGATAGTGTACCCGGGGGTAGCTTATCCGAGGGGTTATTTACGGGGAGTAACAAGAGAGAAGTCAGAGCCAGTAAATGTAGAGAGAGAAAGTATATTATGAGTGTGGAGCATTTTCAGCGTTTATGAGTTGGTTACAAATGGGGAAATGAGGTGCTATTTATAGTAGCAATAAATGCCGGGCAGGGACACATGTCAAGCGTCCATTGGCCGAGAGGTCACCTCATCTGGTTGGCGCAGGCAACCGCATGTGGCCGCATTTAATGCGGCTGTTGGAGGGGACGTTTGTACAGGGTACGGTGATCTGTACGCATGTGGTGTGGATATCATGTCGGGCATGGTGCCCTCGGCTGTAGAGGACTAGCCGAAGGCTCTGAGTTCCGGGGACCCCTAGATGCCGAGGGCTCCAGGTGCCGAGGGCTACTGATTTTCGCCGTTTTTCCCAGTTTCTTAGTTTGCTTGAGAAACCCGTCCTGTGAGAGTTTAGAGCCCTCGGCCAAGGGGCCGAAGGCACCCCTGGTGCGTGTGCGGGCTGCTTGGGCGTGTGCGGGCTGCTTGGTACTCTGGGCGCTGTGATTTGGGCCTGTTGAGCTTCCTGGGCCGGTTGGGCCTTTATTGGTGCAGTAGGAGTCTGTGGTCGGGGTTTCCCGGGCCATATACTCCATCAGGAGTCCCTCACTCCTTTTGCCGAAAGGTACTTGAGGGAAAAAGGAGTAATTTGTGTTTGCCCCTTGATGTTGTCCCATTGTAATCTCTGAAGTTGGTGAGGAGTTGTTGCTTTCATGTCCCTGCCGAAGGCAGTCCCTCAGTTACCCACATGTCGGGACTTGAGGGCTTGCTTTGCCGTTTGTTGGAAATTTTCACCATTTTGTATTTTTAGTGATTTCCCCGAGGGGGTCCTCCAGTCCCCCACTCCTTGAGGCACTTGTAAAGTGGTGAAAAGGAGTAGAGTAGTTGCGTTGCTGTTGCGGGCCGAAGGCTGACGCTTTTCGTTAAAAACCTCATTAGGAAAAACCCTGTGGGAAAAAATCCTAATGAGGGAAAAAGAGTGCACCGAATTCCCCCAAGGATGAATCAAAAAGGTTAAAGCCTTGGTCTGAAATGAAGTGAAATGTTGATGCCGAATTGTAACAATCATACAACCATAACAGTGATAAAGAAGCAGATAGAAAGAAATCGACAAGATTGAACGCGAATATGATATACCGTATGAATCTGTCCGCTGCTCTCCCTGGAGAAGGAGAGCAGCGGCAACCCTAATCTTTCTCTCTATCTCGCCTCTGTGTCTCTAAGCCTCTCACGATTAGTTAGGTTCCCGTAAGTTAGCCTCCTTTTATAGGAGAAGTTGGCTAACTTACGGGTTACAAGGAAGCCCACGGGCTGATACACATTTGTGGCCCGTTTTACACTTTTAATTAATAACTACATAAATACAAAGATAACTAACTAGATTGAACACCATAAAATATTCCCAACAATCTCCCCCTTGGTGATCAATCGTGTTGAATCAGCATTGCAGCGCAGATATCTTTGTCTTTGTTGTTATTGAGCTTCCTTTGTCTTTGAACTTGACTTCTGAGGAAGGCTATCTGAAGAAATCCTTGCAATCTCCCCTTTGATGTCTTCTTGACAATTTGATCTTTGATGCCGGGGGTTGAGGGACCTTCAGTATCTTGCATGTAGTCCTTGCCTTCCAGAAGTTGCTCTTGATCAGCTTGGATGAAGTCCGGTGACGCCTCTAGAATGAATATTCTTTGGAGAATAGGAGACGCCAATGGAATTCATCTTCAGGACACGAGTATTTGACCTCTGTCTCCTCCACAATGTAGTCTTTTTGACTATTTGGAATGAATGCATTTGAGGAGAACTTGTCGGTGGCACCGCGGAACATAATGATGGTTGATTTGTGAGTGTAGCTGACCATTTGATTTGAGTTGCGGAGATAGTAGAGAGGGTGTTGAATTTTGTGATGGAGGAGTGAAGTGTCCCAGAATGATTTGTTCAGTGTTAACAGCATGTGGACCACTCTCCCCCTCATGACGATCCGATGAATCGGGACGTCATGCTTTTATTCTTTTATTCTGCGGAAATAAAAACATGAAAAACAAGCAGAATAAAAAAAAGATAACGTAGCCCCCCGGGGTCGTGAAGACGCCCGTTATCATCACTATAGAGATAAACTCTAAAGCAATGGCCTGAAAATGTTGGTGATTCTTATGTTGCAACAGCAGGACTTCCTTCCAATTATTGGTCTACATCTGTAATAGATGAGCCCTATGGAAGTTCTCGCAAGTCTTGAAGACTAGCAACTGACTCTAAAATGTGTCTGTGTCCTAGAAAATTTCAAAACATTTGGGAAGTGAGTAACTAGACACGACGTGATCAATGAAAATTCAGTGGCATGGGGCTGAGACCACTGTAGTCAGCATTACTTGCCTCGGAAGGAGACAGTAATGAGAGATGCGGTTCCACGTGAACTATGATTAAACACCTGTCTGTTGGGAGACCAGTGAGTGGTCTAGGGTAGGGTTGTGCATGCGCCGTTTGGACAAAATGCAGCGACTTCTACCCGGGATCTGAATAAATTCAGTCCTGAACCTATGGGGATAGTCCAGAGTATTTTAGTGGCTAGGAGCAAATGTTCAATTCATAGCAGGCAATTGAGGTAGCAGACTCATCATTGATAATTGTTTTTCTTCTCACTTGAGCCTTCTGCTTCCTAATGCTCATAATGTTCACTCACTCACTCGCTCACTTACGCACTTACGCTCAGCTTTGTCCCTTGGATAGGCTTAGTTGGGTTTACTAAGCCATAGGGACATGTTCTCTCATTACTTTCTTCTTTTCTCTCTGTACTCCCCCTCAACTGGAGCATTCGGTATGCTTTGTCATTGTTAGGCACCGGGGAGGATTACTTTGAACACTCCCCCTAGAATGTTGCATCCATTGAGAGATTCCTTGCTTTGTCGGTGTAAGGCGCCAGGAGGAGAAAACTGAAACTCCCCCTCAGAATGTGCAAGGTTTGATTGCTCACAGCTTGTCATACCCGCCATGTGTGTGGAGCAATTTGAACATGTACCACACATGACGGTTTCCTGAACTCATCATGTAGAATTTCAGCATATTGATGATCACATAATGTTGATGAGTCAGGGGAGGCTTCAGCAGTTGATTGTTGATTTGTTGTAAGGTGACCGTTGACGCGAGGTTTATTGAATTATCTACGATTTTCAGATCTTTACATTGAAGTTTAGAAAAGCTTTGACTTCAGGGTTGACAATGAAAGAATTTGAACAGATTTGCCTAAGTTTTGACCTGGACATCGGTGATTTAGAATGTTTGTCGGAAAACTAACGTTTTGACCCTCAAAGACTGCGAGTGAGGGCGCGTGAGAATGGGTTCTGGAATGTAGATCTTCTCGTTAGCTTTCCAACAAAAAAACGTTTGCTCAAATCGGATCACCGAGTCAAAAGTTATGGCCAAAACAGTGCGGTGTCGCAGAAAATCTCTAATTTTGAGTTTTTGAGGAATTTCTTCGAAGATGAGGTGCTCGATGTTGAATGTCGAGAGCAGGTGAATTTAAACAATATTCTAAGGAAAAAAACTCGAAATCCAAATCTGAAGATTTTAATTTCAAGTGTGCCTTGAAGAGTAATGACGAAATCCTCCTGCAAAACAAACCTCAGAATATCGAAATCTGCAGAATTTCAAAATGTTTGAACATCGAAAACTTTGGAGTTTCGAAAACCTCATAATCTCGAAAACTTGCTGTTTGAAAAACATCAGAACATCGAAAACTCATGAAACATATATAAGCAGGGAATCATTTAGAGATCCTTATAATGTAAAGCTTCGATGAACTGCAAAGGATGTCAAGATTCGAATTATGAGTTCCAAGAAACTGCAAACTTTGAAAGATTCAAAACATCGAGAAATTTTGAAAATCTCGAAATCTTCAGAGAGTCGAGATCCAACACATCGAGATCCCAAATGTCGAAATCCCAAAACTCGAAATTCCTAAACTCGAAATTCCAAATCTCGAGATTACAAATCTCGAGATCTTGATTTCGAGATTCAAATCTCGAGATCTTGATTTCGAGATTCAAATCTCGAGATCTTGATTTCGAGAGTCAAATCTCGAGATCTTGATTTCGAGATTCAAATCTCGAGATCAAGATGTCGAGATGCAAATCTCGAGATCAAGATGTCGAGATGCAAATCTCGAGATCAAGATGTCGAGATGCAAATCTCGAGATCTCAAATGTCGAGAAGAAGAAGTCGAGTCCCTAAATGTCGAGATCCTGCAAAACGAAAACATTGATTTTTGAAAATCTGAAACCTGTTCTGAATAGCCCTGAAAGTCGAGATTCTCCTGTATCAGTTTCAAGCCAAAAACGTTTCTGCAGCAGTGAAAAATAAAGATTTCGAGATCTCAATGTAGAGATCTTCGAAATATAAAAATTGCAGAAAACGAAAAAAGAGGTATGCTGCTGGATCGGTTTTGAAAGGCGAATCCAACAGTATGATTTTTACAAAATTTCGTTCACAAACGAGATTACAGGAGCAAATCTCTACATATAGAAAAACAGAAGAAAAAACAGAGTAGTTCTTCGTTAGATCCAAAAATCGCAGACAGATCCAACCTGTTTCACGCCTCGGCTCTGATACCAAATGATAGTCCCAGAATTCTAACAATCATACAACCATAACAGTGATAAAGAAGCAGATAGAAAGAAATCGACAAGATTGAACGCGAATCTGATATATCGTATGAATCTGTCCGCTGCTCTCCCTGGAGAAGGAGAGCAGCGGCAACCCTAATCTTTCTCTCTATCTCGCCTCTGCGTCTCTAAGCCTCTCACGATTAGTTAGGTTCCCGTAAGTTAGCCTCCTTTTATAGGAGAAGTTGGATAACTTACGGGTTACAAGGAAGCCCACGGGCTGATACACATTTGTGGCCCGTTTTACACTTTTAATTAATAACTACATAAATACAAAGATAACTAACTAGATTGAACACCATAAAATATTCCCAACAGCATTGCCGAAGACACGTTTGTTGATATCCTGGGAGGTGCCGGGGGGTCCCTCAATCTGGGGATCGAGGGCGTGATGAATGAGGGCAGTAGTTGAGTTGTCACCGGGGGGTCCCCTGCTTGTTGATTAGTTGGTGATGGGGGTATCCGGGGGCTCCCATTGCCTGCGTGCTGTAGGCTATCCGTCAATGAGGCATACTCCCCGGGGGTTATTCGGCCCTTACAGTGCTGAGGGGGAATCCCCGAGGGGTGGCCTGCTATGAAGCCTTGGGCTTCTGAAGGAGTGATGCCGAAGGCGTCTGTCATGTACTGTGTGGGGCACAAACCGGGGGCGTCTCTGGATAAGTGTACCCGGAGGCTCTCCTTGATGAAGTGGAGTGAAGTAAGAAAATCCGGGGGCTCCCAGAATATAGCCGTTGGAAATATAGCCGTTGGAATATGTACCGTCAGGATATAGCCGTTGGGGGGGGGTACACGTGGCGCGTGATGGTTGACTGTCCGTGGGCAGCGTCACCGATTGGGCGATACCGCGGTCTGTAATGATGGCGATCCAACCGGAGGCCCGGTTTCCAGGCCCAAGCCCGAATCCCAGCGCCTATAAATACCCCAAGGCCAGGCCACTCTCCGCTGTGCGATCTTAGTGTAGCGAAGCTCTGGCAAAAATATTCTAGAGAGAGAAACTCGCCCTCGGTTGAATCCTCAGTTCTCAAGGTCAGATCTCCATTCGCATCTCACCTTTTAGCTAGCTGTGTTGTGCCCTTAGGCTAGGAGATAGAATATTTAGAAAAACCTTAGTTCTTCCGAGCCCTCGAGCTAGAGCCATAATGTCGTCCCAGAGTGATTCTCAAGACATCTCGGAGGTGCCCTCGATGGAGGATGAAGTCCTCTCGGATGTGGAGTCCTCAAGTGCACAGCTTTCGGCCCAGGAGGACGTTGCGATGGCAGTAGAAGTGCAGAAGGAGCTGCTAGCTGAAGTTGAAGCCGAGGGCTTCGAGCAGGAGGTGGAAGACGAAGAGTTAGCCCTCGCCATGCAGGTTGCAGAGGAGGAGGAAGCAAAGGAGAGGACGATGGTGACCGTGGCCGTCCTTCCCCCTCGGGGTGCTGGTGAGGCCAGTACCTCTCGGCCGCTGAACGCAGTTCCAATCCGGGTGGCCCCCGGAAAGAAGAAGGCTAAGGTAGTTGTTCCCAAGAAAAAGGGGAGCGTCGCAGATCAAAGGAAGCCCCTCGATATGCTCGAGGGGTACTCCTACCTCAACACCGCCGCCTTGGAGATCAAGTCGAAGGTTGATGCGGCGGACATCTATGTCACCCAGCTTCATGTGGGCCCCTTGGCCATCGTGGTGACACCGGGTCCAGATGACGTCCTCTCCCGGGCTCCCGAGGGCTGCATTGCAGTGCACGTTCTCTCGGTATCCATGGGGCTCCGCTTCCCCCTGCACCCCTTCCTCCGGGAGTACCTTCGGTTCGTGGGTCTGGTTCGCTGCCAGCTCACCCCGAACAGCCATTCTTAGTTTGCTCGAGAAACCCGTTCTGTGAGAGTTTTAGCCTTCGGCCAGGGGGCCGAAGGCACCCCTGGTGCGTATTGCAGGCTGCTTGGTACTCTGGGCGCTGTGATTTGGGCCTGTTGGGCCTTCTGGGCCTGTTGGGCCTTTACTGGAGTAGTAGGAATCTGTGGGCCGGGGTTTCCCGGGCCATATACTCCATCAGGAGTCCCTCACTCCTTTTGCCGAAAGATACTTGAGGGAAAAGGAGTAATTTGTGTTTGTCCCCTGTCGTTGTTCCGTTGTAATTTATGAGGTTGGTTTGTTGCTTGTATGTCCCTGCCGAAGGCAGTCCCTCAGTTACCCACATGTCGGGACTTGAGGGCTTGCTTTGCCGTTTGTTGGAAAATCACTAATTTTGTAATTTAATGATTTTCCTGAGGGGGTCCTCCAATCCCCCACTCCTTGAGGCACTTGTAAAGTGGTGAAAAGGAGTAAAGTAGTTGCGTTGCTGTTGTGGGCCGAAGGCTGACGCTTTTCGTTTCATTTTGGGGGGATGCCTCGTTAAAAACCTCATTAGGAAAAACCCTGGGGGAAAAAATCCTAATGAGGGAAAAAGAGTGCACCGAATTCCCCCAACGATGAATCGAAAATGTGAAACCTTGGTCAAAAATGGAGAATAACGGTAATGCCGAAGGCTCTCCTTTTCCTGAGGGTTCATGTGTTGATTAGCCAAAGGCTTGCTGTTGATGTCCCGGGGGTGCCGAAGGGGAGCCCCTCAATCTGGGGATCGAGGGCGCGATGGATGAGGGTAGTAGTTGAATTGTCACCGGGGTGTCCCCTGCTTGTTGATTAGTTGGTGATGGGGATATCTGGGGGCTCCCATTACCTGTGTGCCGTAGGCTATCCGTCAATGAGGCAACTCCCCGGGGGCTACCCGGTCCTTACAGTGCTGAGGGGGAATCCCCGAGGGGTGGCCTGATATGAAGCCTTCGGTTTCTGAAGGAGTGATGCCGAAGGCGTCTGTTATGTACTGTGTGGGGCAAAAACCGGGGGCGTCTCTGGGTAAGTGTACCCGGAGGCTCTCCTTGATGAAGTGGAATGATGTAAGAAAATCCGGGGGCTCCCAGAATATAGCCGTTGGAAATATAGCCGTTGGAATATGTAACGTCAGGTTATAGCCGTTGGGGGGGGGGTACACGTGGAGTGTAGCCGTTGGCTGCTCGTGGGCGGGCGTCACCGGTTGGGTGAAACGACGGTGCGTAATGATGGCTTTGGCCGCTGGGAGCCCGGATCTCGGCCCAAGCCCGGATCTGGGAGCCTATAAATACCCCAAGCCAATGCCATTCCTTCTCTACGCATCCAACATCCTTAGCGAAGCTCTGCCAAAATTTCTAGAGAGAGAAACTCAAGCCTTCGGTCGAATCCGGTGCTTTCAAAGGTCAGTCCCTCCTTCTTCAAAGTTCTTAGTAAGTCTCGTCCTGTGGCCTTAGATTAGGCGCTAGAGCCCGTAGAAAGCTTTCGAAATCTTAGGCACATTTCGTGATAAAAAATGTCGTCCGAGAGCGATTCCCAAAACATGTCGAGGGACCCTTCGGCTGATGAGGAGCACGTTTCTGATGCGGAGTCCGTGAGCGAGCCCTCGGTTGGTGCTGATGCCACCCTGGCCCGGGAGGTCCAGAAGGAACTTATTGCTGAGGTCGAAGCCGAGGGCTTCGAGCAAGAGTGCAAGGATGAAGACCTAGCCCTCGCATGGAAAGTAGCGGAGGATGAGGCGCAAAATGAGAGCACGAAGGTTACAGTTGCTGTTCTCTCCCCCCCGGGGGTTCTAGGGAAGCAAGTAGCTCGAGGCCGCTAGATCCGACACCTCTGTGGGCGGTCTCCGGGTTGAAGAAGAAGAAGAAGGCGAAGGCCGCTACCAAAAAGAAGGAGAGGGCTGTTGATCAAGGAAAGCCAGTGGACATGCCCGAGGGGTACAGTTGGTTGAACACCGAGGCCCTCGAGATTAAGTCGAAAGCCGATAGGGCAGATCTGTATGTTACCCAGCTGCACGTGGGGCCCTCGGCCGAAGTGGTGAGCCGGGTCCTGACGACGTGTTGTCCAGGGCGCCCGAGGGGTGTATCGCCATCCACATCCTCTCGGTTTCTATGGGACTTAGGTTCCCTCTGCACCCGTTCCTTCGGGAGTACCTGAGGTTTGTTGGTTTGGTCCCCTGCCAGCTTACGCCCAACAGCCACTCCTACATTGCGGGGTTCCTCCAGCTCTGCAAGTCCCGAGGGGTGAAGCCCAGCCTGGATCTATTCTTCCAGAGCTTTAATCTGTGTCGAGGGGGGCACGAGAACGGTGAGGGATACGCGAATCTGCAGCAGATCGCCCGTTTCAAACTATTCTCCGATGCCCCTTCTTCAAACAAAGGGTGGAGGGAACGTTGGTGCTATGTGAAGTTGGGCGAGAACCCATTCCCGAGGGAACTGCGCGATCGATTCCGAAGGCACGAAAAGATCAGGAGTGCTGCCCTCGAGAAAGACGGCCTAAAGCTCGCCAAGTTCCCGGAAGGGAAGAATAAGAATGTGGCGATCAAAGATTGCACCCTTGAGGAAGACTTATACACCCTCGGGTTCCGAAGGTACCGCTTCATAGGGGAGACCGACGAGAAGTATCCTCTCTTCAACAAGGCCTTCGGAGGAGCCGGAGGTAGGAGCTGAGGGCTTTAGATTTTTGTACTTAGTTTTTTTTGTTTTGCTTGGATGTCATTGTCCCTTCGCTGTAGACCCGTCTGCCTAATCCTTTGTCGTATTTTTGCAGGTATCCCTGTGTCCATGGTGAATCGTGAAGGGCCTTGCGCGTCTGAAGAAACAGGACCCGAAGGGGTCGGGACAGGGCAACCAGAAGCCCGCCACTGCCCTCTTCAAGAAATCCGAGGGCGATGCCCCTGCCAGCAAGAGGAAGGCGGCGGCCAAGCCCCCCCCCCCCATGGCTACCAAAAAGCCAAAGAAGGGGGATATCACCGATAAGGAGCCCCCGATCGTGATTGTTGATGAGCACCCCGCCTCCGGGATGCATGTGGAGAAGCCGTCGGGTGGAACGCCGGCTGGGGCAGAGGAGTTGCTGCCTGAGGTCCTCCATGTTTCTCTTCCGAGGGGTACATCTCTGGCCAGCGGCGCTGTTGACCCGGGGGCCATCTTGAGGGGCATAACCCCCGAGACGGATAGGGCTGCCCTCGGGGCTTATAATGATGCGGCCCTCGAGGACCACATTCTCTGCTCCTCCCTCTCTGTAAGTGTTCACTCGGCTATCTTCCTTTTTTCCTTAGGTCATTTTGTGTGATTGCCTTTAACCGTTTTCGTTGTTGATCTGCAGGCTTGTCTAGCCCTCGGCGAACAGGCCCGGAGGCTTCAAGAATGGCGCCTCCATAAAGCGGAGCAGGACGCCAAAATGAAGGAGTGTATCCTCAAAAACAAAAAGAGGCAGTGAAGCTGGGGGCCAGGCTAGAAGAGGAGCTTCGGCAAATGGAGCTAAGATTGGAGGCTGCAGAAAAGAGCAAGGCTGATGCTGAGGCCGCTGCTGAGGAGGCCAGGAGAGCTGCCAAAGAGGCCGAGGATTCCAAGGCGCTAGCCGTCGCCAAGGCTCAGGAGGAGGCCATTGATGCCTTCGTCGCTGAGGGTTTGAGAGCCGAGGGACGCAAGGTGTGGGTGTCCTCGGTTGTGGAGGCACGCGTTGATGAATGGGCCGAGGGCCCTGGGTGGGAATGGATGGCCCGGAAGGGCAGAGAATATTATGAGGCTGGCGAATTCTTCACCCAGGCCCTCATCTATCGGAGGATGGCCCGGCACCTGAGCATTGAGCCAAAGGATTTCGCCCCCTCGGCATATGGCCTTCCTCCCCTGCAGCCTGATGTCCGTGAATCCCTTCCCGAAGGTGTACAACGGCCCGATCTTGAGGACACAGAGCTGAAGAAGGAAGCCGAGGACGACGTTGTTGAGGCCGGAGCGGAGGTGTCGTCGAGGCCGGCTGCAGAGGATGCCCCGGGGAATGATGCTGTTGAGGTTGTTGAATGATTTTGTGCTTAGACATTTCTGAACAAACTCTTGTAATGAACATCATTGATCCTTCGGCTTCGGCCTGTTTGTAACAATTACATTTACTCCTTTTTGTGATGATTGATGGATGAGTGTTAGCCTTCGGGCCTTGTATATATACATGACTTGTTTGCTTTAATTCATCCCTCCTTGAATGTATGCCGTCGTTTTTTCTTGAGTGTATGCCTTCGCCCTTTTTGAATATATGTCTAGGACTTAGAATATTTTCTAAGTGTTTGAATACGGTTGTAGCCTTCGGTAGTTGGGCACCCTTTGCTGGATATACAACCGAGGGCTCAGCAATAATTAGGACTTAGAAAAAATTTCTAAGTGTAGCATACCATAGGGCCTTCGGGTGTTTGTAGTTCAATTGCTGTGTGAGGATTAGATTAAGAACCCAATCCTTAGGACTTAGAAAGATTTCTGAGTGTAGCTTGCCCTTGGAAGCCCTCGGCTGGCAGCCTCCTTCCTGATGTGTGAATGTTGGACCGAGGGAAAAATATGTAGGACTTGGAAAATTTTCAAAGTGCTTGTTGTATCGCATAGCCTTCGGCTATCATATTCCCTTAGCTGTAATATTGGTTGGGCCGGGGGCCCAATCTTTAGGACTTAGAATTTTTATTCTCAGTGCTGCTTCCTTGTGTCGCCTTCGGGTGATGGGTGCCCTCTGACTCTGCGTCACTTTTGCGAGATGCCCGGGGGCTACTCATTTAGGACTTAGAATATTTTCCAAGCGTAAATTGATGTTGAGCTTCCGGATGTAGATCCCTCCGGGTATATGAATAGGACCCTTCGGGTGATCGTGAGGCCCTTGTGTTTTTGACCGAGGGCCAAATATGTGGGACTTAGAAAAATCTCAAAGTGTGTCGTAGATGTTGAACCTTTGGTCAGTGAGGAGTCTGTCCGAGGGGCAGATATTTTGAAATAAGCCCCCTCGGTTGGCCTTTGATGATTTGTAATAGATGCCTTCGGTTCTCGGGTGATATATTAGCCTCCGGTTGTTGTCATTTTCCAAAAGTGTGGACTTAGGAAAAGTGTGGAATCCTGTTGTTGTAAAGAAAGCCGATGAGGAGTCATGTGCCCTCGGCATACACTTGAAAAGTTGTAGAGATTGACTTAGCCAGTTGTGTCCCTTGTCATGGGGTAGGGGCCCTCGGTATTAGTGCATAACAGATGCCCTCGGTATTTGTTTGAAGTACCGTTTAGTGGACTTTGGATAGTCGAGTCCCTTTGTATTGTTGAAGCCTTCGGGGCTTGTGTGACCGGAGGTGACCAAGCAGTGGACTTAGCCGTTTCTTGACGATATTTGTTGGAGTAGTATCCTTCGGGGAATAGGAGCCTTCAATTACCGGAGGTGTTCCCGTGGGGAGCCCTCGGCATGTTGTGATCTATTGGAGTGTACTCTTTGATTTCTCGGTGAGTCTACTCCCCTTCACCCCTCTCTTTTTTTGTGGTTGGTGGTGAAGGGAAGGCATCAAGAAACTTGGTTTCTTGGTAAGGCTGGGCCTATCAGGAGACCATCAGAATACACCAATGGCTCTCCTCCCTCGGGTTAACCTTCCGAGTTCCGAGGGGATCGAGGGCCGTTTCCTGGGTACAAGATATGATGGTCTGTAACCTGCCTCCCGTTGGAGGATGGTGCGGAAAGCGCCTCATTTTTGAAAGTCGTCCCCTTGGCGCTAGACATAGTCCGTGGCCTGCCACACCCTTGGGGTGGTGGCGCGGGGAGCGTTTCGGTTTGGAAGTCAAATCCTGGGCATTTCTCGTGCCTGTCATACCCTTGGGGTGATGACGCGGAAAGCATTCCGTTTTTGAAAGTCGAATCCTGGGCATTTCTCATGCCTGTCATACCCTGGGGGTAGTGACGCGGAAAGCGTTTCAAGGAAGGGTTTTCATTTGCACACTAGTTGCAAATGGCCAGGGGCACTACGTGCCGCCGGCACCGATGGTGGCGCCTTCGGTATATGCGTCCTCGTGGGGTATGACTTTTAGAAGCAACACTTGGTGTTAGCTTCGATATGTAGCCCCCGATACTTGGTACTGAGGGGTCTTCTGTAGGAACACTTAGTGTTCTTTCTCTATTTGGCGTTGATGGGTGAGATGTGTACCCCCGGTACTTGGTACCGAGGGGTCTTCTGTGGGAACACTAGGTGTTCTTCTTTTTGATGTTGAAGGTGGAGATGTGTACCCCCGGCACTGGGTGCCGAAGGGTCTTCTGTAGGAACACTGGGTGCCGGAGGGCCTTCGAAGGAAACGCTTGGCGTTTTCCAACAGGTGTTTGAAAGTTGACAGGAGGGCGTATCCCTAGCACTGGGTGCCGAGGGGTCTTCTTTGAAACATTTGGTGTTTTTCTTCGTTTTTTGATGTTGATGGTGGAGGTGTACCCTCGGCACTGGGTGCCGAAGGGAAATGAAACACTTGGTGTTCCTTGTTGTCGGTGATGGGAGTTCCCTCCCTCGGTACTTGGTACCGAGGGGTCTTGACTGAAAACACATGGTGTTTTCACTGTTGTCGTAGGTGTTGATGGTGTCCGCCCTCGGCACTTGGTGCCGGAGGGGGTTCTCCTCGTGGTGAGGCCTGGGGCCTGTAGTCAGTATGAGGACTTGGCCGCTCATAAGTGTTTTGTTCTTGATGTCTTGAATGTGTCTTCATTCTTCAAAATTGGAGGCCTTGGGCCATAGGATAGTACATTCACTAGTTATGAGGGCTTGGCCGCTCTTACATTATTGATAAAATTTAACTAAGTGGTGTACATTCCAGTGCCTAGGGACTTCTTTCCCGTTGGGGCGTTTGAGCTTGTAAGTCTCGGGTTTGATGATGGCTGCTATGATGTAGGGGCCTTCGAATTTTGGTGCCATTTTTCCTCCCTCGGTTGGTTGGCTGGCTTCCCTCCTCCGGAGGACATAGTCCCCCACTTGAAATTCTCGGGTGCGAACCTTGGCGTCGATGTAGCCTTTGACTTGCCTTCGATAGTTCTCTGCCCGGATGAAGGCTTGCTCCGGGCGTTCTGAAAGGAGGTGGAGGTTGAGGGCCATGTTGCTGTCGTTGACCTCGGGGTCATATTGGATCACCCTCCGGGTGGGAAGGGTGACTTCCGTAGGAGCTTTGGCTTCAAAACCGTAGCAGAGGGAGAAGGGTGTTTCACCTGTTGCTCGCCGAGGGGTGGTGCGGTAGGCCCAAAGGATGTTGTGGAGTTCTTCCACCTAGCCACCGCCCTCGGCCTCCAGCTTCTTTTTGAGGCCCTCGAGCAAGGTCCGGTTGGCGTTCTCTACTTGCCCGTTGCCTTGAGGGTAGGCAACGGAGGAGAAGGTGTGTTTGATGCCCCATGCCTCCAGAAGGGCACAGAAGGGGGCTGCCTCAAATTGTGTTCCGTTGTCGGAGATGATCTGCTGGGGGACGCCAAACCTTGTGAGGATGTTCTTGAGGAAAAAATGACGACACTTCGCCTCTGTGATACTGGCGAGGGGCTCAGCCTCCACCCACTTGGTAAAGTAGTCGATGGCCACAATGATGTATCTGTTGTTGGAGGTACCCCTCGGCAGAGGGCCCACAAGGTCTATCCCCCATCGAGAAAAGGGGACAGATGTGCTGATGGGGGCATAGTTGACTGCTGGCCTGCCGGGGGCTTTCTGAAAATGTTGACTTGCGGTGCATCTTCGGGCAAGGTCAGCACAATCTCTGGCCATGGTTGGCCAGAAGTAGCCCTGGAGAATGAGCCTTCGGGACATGGAGAAGGGTCCCTGGTGAGCTGAGCAAGTGCCACTGTGCACCTCCTCCATTGCGACCTCGGCTTCATCCTGATGAAGGCACCGAAGTAGTGTGCCGTTGTAATACCGTTTGTAGAGCCTTCCGTCTTCGATGGTATAGCTAGGAGCCCTCAGTTTTGCTAGTTTAGCGCGGGTCTCGTTCTCGAGTAGCTGCCCTGTGGAGATGAAGGTGATGATATCCGAGATCCAGTCCTCTTGGCGTTGTTGTATGTTCATGACGGGGCTCGCATGGATGCTTGAGAGACTGAGTTCCTCAATTTTAACAATCTTAGAGATGTGCTCGGGGGAGTCGGCCGAGAGCTTAGATAGTATGTCGGCCTCAGAGTTCTGAGCCCTCAGTATTTGAGTGAGAGAATGTGCCTCAAATACCTTAAGCAACTCCTTGGCCGCTTCCTTGTACTGTTTCATTCTTCCCTCCTTGGCCTCATACTCCTCGGAGATTTGGCCAACGACCAACTTGGAGTCGCATTTGATGTGGATCTGCCGAGCCCTCATGTTGGCAGCCAGCCGAAGGCCACATAGGAGGGCCTCATACTTGGCCTCGTTGTTGGAGACTTTGAAGGAGAAGCGGATCGCATAGTAGGCTCTGAAGCCCTCGGGAGTAATGAGGACTACCCCTCCCCCGCATGCTTTTGTCGCAGAGGAGCCGTCGGTGTAGAGGGTGCCACCAGTCGTCCGAGGTAGCCGAGGGCTCCCCGTCCGTGGCTGCCCTTGCGGTACACTCTGTCACAAAGTCCGCCAGGGCTTGGTCCTTGACGGCAGGCCTCGGACGGATGTCAATGTTGTACTGGCTCAAGAAGATGGCCCATTTCACCATGCGGGAGGAGCTGGTGGGGCTCCTCATTAGGGCGCCGAGGGGTTGATGAGTGAGGACCTGAACCGGGTGAGCCTGAAAGTAGTGGCCCAACTTCTTGACGGTCCAAACGATGGCTAACACCGTTTTCTCCACAGGAGAGTACTTGACCTCGGCCTCCCTTAGGGTTTTGCTTACATAGAAGATGGCATGTTGGACGTTGTCTTCCTCCCGGATGAGCACGGAGCTGATGGCTGCCGGGCTGACCCCAAGGTAGAGATAGAGGGTCTCCCCTACCTTTGGTTTGGATAGCACAGGGGGTGAAGACAGATATCATTTGAGCTCGTCGAAAGCCCCCTGGCATTCTGGAGTCCATTGAAAGCCAGCCGTCTTCCTCATGATCTGGAAGAAGGGTAGAGACTTCTCCGCTGATTTAGATAGAAAGCGGTTGAGGGATGCCAGGCGGCCCGTCAACCGTTGAACTTCCTTCACATTGCGTGGGGGCTCCATATTGATGATGGCCTGGATCTTCTCGGGGTTGGCCTCAATACCCCTTCGGCTCACCATGTAGCCTAAGAA